GGGAAAATTGGTTAATGGTATAAAAATGACCCTTTATAGTATAAAAATAAATATTACACAGCCTCACCTTCTAGTTTTTTCCCTTTAGTACTAGTGAACTGTGTGCAGAAGATTTAGGTGTTTTGTAGATGAGAAAAAATTGAGACAGAATGGATTTGTTCATTAACATCATCAATTTTGTCTTTATCTTCCTCTCCGTTTCCTCCTCTGCCTTCCTTCTTTGCTCTTTATTTTCCTTGTTTTTTTTAGTCTTCCCTATTCCTTTTTTTTTAAACTTTACTGTTATTCTATTTTGTGATTTTTTAAACAAATCTTTATTTTATTTTATTTTATTATTTATTTATTCATACAAGCACTGGGTACAGTCAGAAGCGCGGGAGGGTGAGAGAATTCACCAGAGCCAGAGCGGGGAGCAGAACAGGCAGACTGACGAAGTACACTGCTGAGGGGAGCAGCGGGCGGCAGGAGAGGTCTGCACGCCATGTGGGACCCTTCTCTGGTGGCCGGGGAGCAGCCGGGGATCGAACTGGCGCTGCAGAGGCTGCGGGCAGCTTCGCAACCCAGCGCTCAACCGCTGCGCCACCAGTAGTCCTCCCTATTCCTTTCCTCCATCATCAAGCTGCAGATCTTTGACTGTCTCTTCACGTGACAATGGTTTTGTATATAGAGATAATTCACAGAGTGTGATAAATCAGCTAATTCAGTCTTCCCTTCAATATGGCTGATCCAACTTGTTTTATACCACTGATCATTAGGGAAGCTTTTTTCAGCTCACTGCTCTGTTTAAAATGTCCTATGCCATTTTAGGATTGGTTTCAAATTTAGAGAAAATTAACAAGTTTCTCACCTATGGACTTTAAAAGTTTAAAGTCTTTTGAGCTTTCTGGTGTGATGATTGTTCTAAAAGTTTTAAAATTGGCCACATTTATTACAAAGTTAGTGGTCTTTTGGTGACATATTATGAATTTTATGCTGTCTTTGTTGATGTTAATATTTTGTGTTACATCAACAGAAAGGTTGTTGTTTCCTAATGTGTTCATCTCATTCACTCTTTTATTGGATTATTAAACAATACATTAGTTTTCTCAATAATCCCATTCAAAAGTTATCTCTTTCTTTTAATAAACTGATTTTTGGTATGCTCTAAATATAGTTGGGGTACAATTGTCTTTTCAATATCAGAATCACTTGAATGTATTCAGTCTTCATTATTGCTTCTGTTTCATATTCCATCTATTTTATTTTACTTTTTTTTTAAAGATTTATTTATTTATATAAGAACCGGGGTACAAGCCAGATGTCCAGGAGGGTGAGAGGATTCACCAGAGACAGAGCGGAGAACAGAACAGGCCGACTGACCGAAAGCACTGCTGAGGGGAGCAGTGGGCGAGACAGGAGAGGTCTATGCGCCATGGGGGACCCTCCCTGGCCAGCTGAGATGGAACCGGCCCTGCAGAGGCTGCGGACAGCTTCACAGCACTGCCCTCAACCTCTGCGCCACCAGGGGAGGCCCCACCTATTTTAAATACTTCCCATGGGGCCAAACAAAATACATACCTTTAGATAAGACTTCAACATGTTCTTAAGTGCTATCCCACACTAGGGGAAAGTCAGAATGAAAGACCTAATGGTTATAACCAATTGGCTACAATTTAACTTACTTAGGAAGATTAAAAAAGACAGTAAGCCTAACCGTGACCTCTGGTGCTGCAGGTCCTCAGGAAAGAGAGGTCCTGTTCCCTAATTTCACACTAGTTCCCTGTAAGCTACTGCATCCACCTCTTATGTGTGGTGGTTTCCCTCAGTGAAAAGTCTGCCTTCTCTTTTCACCTGATGACCTTCTCACACCCCATTATCTTCTCTCTTTGCACCCTTTACTTCTCCTTATGGTATTTCTCACCATTTATAACTGCATTTGTTTACTTCTTTGTCTAATGGTATTTCCCCAGTGGGTGTGAGGGTAGGGGCTCGCCAGCAATGCCTATGCTTTGTTTGGCACAGCTGTCTCCCCTGTACCCTGGTGCTCTCTGTTTCACCCCCAGTGACTTCCCCACTCCAGGTCATGCATGCCATGTCTCCTCTGGGCAACTCTGACAAGGCTTTCTGTCTCAGGTCTTGTTCCTCTTACCTTTTCTGATTGACTTTCAGAAAATAGGGTTTTATTTGTGTCCTTCTCCTGTTGAGATCCGTCAATGACTCTCTATGGCCTTCAGGATGAAGCCCAGGGAGGTCCCCTGAGGTCCTATCTCAACCTTCCCCAGCCTCACCTCTGGCCCTCCCTGTGAACATTTTCCTGCTTTGAGAACAGTTTGCCTTCTGGGTTTGCTGTTTCCTCAGCTTGGAGCACCCTTCTTCAGTCCCTCTTTCCTGACCAACTCCTTCATTACTCTTGTTAAGGGGCACCTGCTTGTCTGTACCTTCTGCTTCCCTACCTCTGCCACATGCACCCCCATCATAGCATTTTACTTATGGTGATGTAACCAGCCATTAAGAGACCTGATGCCCCAACTGTCTGGGTGTTTCCTAAGGCCAGGAACTATCACCACTTGTCTCTGTTTTCACCCAGCCTCAGATCTGGCATCTGTTGAATGAATGAATTAATTAATAAGTCTCACAGAATCTCAAAGGAATGTAAAGAACCCCAAGGGCATCAGGGAAGTGGCCAGAAGAAAAGCTAAGGATCATTAGCAATTGAAGCTTGGGGCCGGGCCGCTCCTCAGGGACCCTGCATTGGAGCACCCGGAGCTGATCTCAGACCTGTAATGAGGCTTTTCCTTGGGCATCACATCTTGTCTGCACTCCCTAGGGCTTCCCAGTCCATGAGCCCTTGAAAGTGGACCCCTAGGGTTTTCCAGAAAAGAGGCCTGTGGGATAGGATATAGGAGGAGAGCTGGGGTCCTGGTGGCAAGTGTGTATGTTGGGAGTTGTAGTTAGAGTGGCATGTGATTGGGGAAGGACTTTTGCCAGGCCATTCTTCTAAGACCTTGGATCCTGGGGAGAGCAGCGGTCCCTGTGGGATGTGTGCATGTGTGTGTACACATATGTGTGTGTGTGTGTGTGGTATCTATTTCCCAAGGGTGGGCATGAGTCTGGGCATTGTGTGGCTCTTCTGTTTCTCAAGACACATCTCAATTGGTACTTCTTCCAGGAAGCCTTCTCTAGCACCCTGGGTAAATCGATGACCCCTGCTCTGCTTTCAGAGTGTTTATAGCTTACATATGGCCCTGTGATGGTGCAGGATGCATGTGTCCCTCTCTTCACACGTTCCTGTAGGTAGACAATGCTGAGATGCTCTATGTCGCCAGATTGCCAGCCAAGTAGAGGATGATGCCTGTCTGGTCTTCTACGCTGTTCCCTGGAGGTCACACCTATCACTAAGAGCCTGTATGTAGCACACAATTTATGATGCCCCTTCTTTTCATTTTTCCTCATAATGCTGTGAGCACCATTTTGCATCTTCTGTCTCAAGGAGGTCCCTAGTGGCATCTAGGGCCATGACTCTTGAGGGCTCCTTTCAGACATCACCTGGGCTCACTCTGTTTGTACCGAGGACCATGATTCTCAACCTTGAACTCACTTCAGAACCACCTGGGTGCTTTGGAAATACACCAATACCTCGTCCCAAGTATAGGGGGCCGATACAGGCATACCTTGTTTTATTGTGCCTTGAAGATATAGTGTGTGTGTGTGTGTGTGTGTGTGCACATGCGCGCGTGTGTTTCACAAATTGAAGGTTTGTAGCAATGCTGGGTGCAGCAAGTCTATCAATGCCATTTGCTCACCTTATGTCTCTGTCACATTTAATTAAAGACTGTGTACTTTTGGTAGATAGAATGCGATTGCACACTTAGACTATAGTAGACTGTAGTGTAGTATAAACGTAACTTGTACGTGCATTGAGAAACCAAAAAAATTGTGTGAGTCACGTTACTGTGACATCAACTTTATTGGGGTGGCCTGCAGCCAAACCCACAATGTCTTGGAGGTAATGCCTGTACATTTCAGATCAGAATCTCTGGGTGATGGGGTCAGGCACGAGTCCCTTTTTCAAACTCTTCAAATATGCATCCTGACATGAAAACTACGGACTTGTGTGTCCTGCTGTACATCAGGGTCAGAAGAACCTCCCTCACCTCTTGTTGGAGACATTCTCCACCAACCCTCTATTCCTCTGGCAACGGATTTCCTCCGTGTAGTCCGTGTGCGGCCTACAGGGGTCGCTCTGGGACAGTTTGCCCAGCTTGGGATTTTCCTCCAGGTCAAAATCCTGTATTTATCCCCAGGGAAAACCGGAGCCAACGGTATAAATTAGCATCTTTATTACGAACACCTGAGCAAGCGCCCTGGCTCGCCCGCCTGTCATATAAACATACAGTGTCCCTGTCGCACCGCACACCATGCTTCAGAGATTAATACAGCCCTAGGGGCTCCTGCTCTGGCAAAGCAACTCTTATTTACAGGAATAGATTACAAAAGTATTACAAAAAGTGGTCCTGAACCGGGGGTGGGGGGGGTGGGGGGGGGAGTGGTTACCATTATACCTGTCACACTAGAGAGGGGAGCGCACCCAGCAGGCGGTGGAAAGAGTGGGTGTCCGGAGGACTCTGCAAAGGAGACACCACGCGCCCCCCGCCCCCCAAGTGAACAGGGCGTCCGGGTGAGGCTTAACTCATGGGTCCCACCCCAAGGGGGAGGGGTGAGGAAGAGGAAGGGCCTGGCCCCTCAAAGGTCAACTCTGGCACACCGAGAAACACCTAAGGGCCGACGCAGCGGGTTTCTGGGAAGGGTGCTGCGTGGAAAGAAGGACCATGTCCTTGCTCTGGGGTGCAGGAGGTGGAAACAGGCTCTCCCGCCTCTCCTACCTCCGGAAGGGTTGCTTTTAAAGCACGATGGGAGGGGTGTTGGCATTTAAGCTCAATTTTCTGGGCTCCGAGACCCTGAGGGGTCCCATCCCTCAGCTGGGGGGGCATCAGTGCCCTCCGACGCGGCCGCCTAACCCCTCAGAGCACCTGGTAGATCGGGTTGGGGTTCGCGCCCGCGGAGCACTGCGGGGCAGCGTCCGGAGAAGGGGTGGGGGCGCCGTGTTCGCCCTCGCTGAGGACCACCTCCTCCTGCGGTCCGGGCGAGGACTCCGGGGGCGCGTCGGTCAGCAGAAGCGCGGGCGCCGCGGGGCTCTCCGTGGAGATGCGCTCCACGATGCTGGACAGGCAGTCGAGGCTCGACACCGCGGCGCTCTTCCCCGGCCTGGGTTCTGCGCGGGGAGGGGTAGGTTAGTCGGTAGGGTCGCTGTCAAGTCCCCCCCCCCTACTCCCATCCCCCCGGGAACGGAGGGTTTTGTGGCAGACGGGCGACAGGGCTGCCACCCCCGGGGACGATCCAGCCATACTTGGCATTTCGGGGGTGGGGTGTGGAAGGGGAGTGGACCGAGGAGGGGTCCTATTAATAGATAGAGGGAAACTCAAAGAGAAGCGTGGACAGGAGGCTCGGATACGCACCGCCGGGCGCCTCGCTGTAGTAAGCGCCGTCGTAGCGTCGCCGGGCACCGCTGGGAGGGCTGCTGTAGTCCATCTGCGAATGGCAAGAACGACCGAGTCAGGTCCTCGGGACTGCCCGAGGCCAGGGGCATTCCTCCCTGTAGCCGCCCCCTCCTGATATCCCTGCTCGAGGGTAGGGATGGGGAGGAAATGCCTGCAGCACACCCAGCCAAAAAGAGGGCGGACAGTGACCTGGGAACAAAACTTGCATCTTGGAAATGGAATCAAGCAGATTTCATAGCGTGTCCTAATAGCGTCCCCAACGGGATGGACGATATCTGTTCCGTGCGCCTCCACAGCACCAAGCCATCCCAGTGACAGCTACCCCAGTGAAACAGGGGGGCTTACTCGGGAAGATGCCTCACCCAGCCAGCCCTCCCCTGGAAGGTCCGCTCTCTGCGCACAGAAACGTGCTCCAGCTATCAGGACAGCTGCTCTCACTAGCCCTCTCGTCGAGGGTCCTGGCCTTACCATGCCGTCGGAGCAGTTGGATCGCGGGCTGGACGCGTCCGAGTCGCCGCTGTAGTGCTCGCCGCCGCGGCCGGGGGGCAGTGGGCCAGGCGCATAGAAGGCAGCGGCAGCGCCAGGGGGCGCGGCGTCCTGGTCCCGCAGCAGCGCCTGCAGGCCCTCGATGTAGCGGATGGCATTGCGCAGGATCTCTACCTTGGGCAGCCTCTGGTTGGGATTGCTCGACGTGCAGCGCTTAAGCGTCTCGAAGGCCTCGTTGACTTTGCTGAGACGGCGCCGCTCTCGCATAGTGGCGGCCTTGCGGCGGTCGGCATTCGTGGTCTTGCGCTTGCAGGCCTTGCAAGCCCAAAGCAGACAGCGGCCCGCCTGGTGGTGCCCGCTGGGTGCGCGCACATGCTCATCCTCGCGCGCGCCTGGGGCGGGGTGCACAGCTGCTGGGAAGTGAGGGTGTTCCTCTGGCTTCAGGAGCGCGCCCACGTGCACCAGGCGCGGGTCCAGGTCCTCGAAGAAGCGTAGGTCTGGGGAGTCGAAACACGGGTCGTCATAGAAGTCGTCAGCTGTGGCAAAGTTGCAGAGAGAGGCGTCGGGGCCCGTCAAGTCTACGTCGCGGAGTGGAGGCGACAGCAGCTCCATGTCTTGGTGGGGGTGACACGCAGCCCTGGCTTTGCCCAACCGTAGTTGGTACGGTTACCCGAAACTTTGTGCCGTTCCGGAACTCTGACCGTGCGATAGCCAAGTGCTGTTCCCTAGCCGGCTGCCCTGTCCGGCCTGACCCGCGGGGAGGAAACTGGCGGCAGCGCCCTGGGGCTTCTTCACCCCTATCTGCTTGCCAGGCGCGGAGGCTATTTATCCCGTAGTAGCCTACGGGCCCCCGCCCCCCCAGCCCCAGCGGGCGGCTGGGGGCGGGGGCGCCCGAGGCCAATAGGAGCAGAGAGGGGAGGAGTTTGGGATCCCCAGGGTGGCCGCAGGGGCTAGAGCCGGGCTCGCCCCCCACCCCTCTACACTCGCGCGCACGAGCTCCCGCCCCCTCCCGAGGCAGGCAGGGAGGCAAAGGCTGCCAGCCTGACGCGGCTGCACTTGGCTCCTGGTGACACTTTCCAAACCCCTCCAGAGCCGGGCTCCTCCTGCATCCAGGGGAAACTCTGGCTACGCACGCTCACCTCAGAGCTGACTTTGGGTCCTCCTCTGCCCTATTTCGTGGGGGGATCCAGGAGCAGGGGAGAGTAGAGATCAGATCTGGAAAGATTTGGAGAGAGACACAACAACCGGGCAGAGCCACACCCGAGGCAGAGAGAATTCCGAGGTGGAGAGACACTCAGGCATTGCACACAGGCAGGGAACTGTGCAACCAGAGATAGACTCCGAGAGTGTAAGTGGGAAAACTTGACAAAGCCGCATGTCACTCATCACTTCCTGCCCAGGAGTCGCTTGGAGGGCTGTGCCTTCCTTAGACACTTAGAAACCCAGTGGTATCTAAAGGGGAGTCCACATGGCTGCTTAAGCTCTGCGGTCAGTCTCCCCAAACTCCAGTCCTCCCCCATCTGGGAGGGAGGGAAGTGGACTTCTGCCCAACTCAACCAGATTGATCTTTTCACAACCTGGAGCCCTGGGCCAATGTAGACCTGAGATACCTCTTCTACTGGGGAAAAAAAAAAAAAAACCTACCTTGTGCACGGTGCTGCCCCAGGAAAGTTATCTGCATGAGGCAGAGAATGCCTGGGCTGCATCTGAGAACCCCACCTGAGAATCCAGGCCCTAGGGCTTGTGTGATTTTGTGAAAGTCACAGGCCTCTCCTAGCCTCAGCTTCCCAACTTTGTAAAATTGGGGATACATCTTTGGGGATGAACTCAGTAGTAATGAGAATCTAAAATGACCAAAGATGTAGAAGCCCCCAGTTGGAGGTGCAAGGCTCCACTTGCTAGAGGACTTGCTCCTGTCCTGGCACCACCTCCCTAGGGCTCCTCTGGGGCACTGAACCCAGACACTGGCCTGTGTAGTCTCCGGACTCAGCTCCTGCAGAGGCCTTCTCCCCAGGAGACCCACTGGAGAGACTGGAAGTAGAAGGAGGACGCGACCACCCCTTGGGTTCCCTGGCTCCCTGGCAAGCCCCGGGTATCCCCTGTCCATAAGGTCTCTCAACCTCTTTCTGAATCTGCTGACTACACCTTCCTCCCAGCACTTGGGCTAGGAATCTCCTTTGGATCTTGTACCCCCGCCTGTGCCTCTCAACTTGGAACCTAGAGATATAAGCAATTGTGACCTATGCGCCTTTCCCATTAACTTCTAGAAGCTGTCCTGGATGATCCTCTGGGCCCTGGGAACCATGGACATTTTCACCAAACCCAGAGGGTTATTTTGAAGTCCTGTTCTCTTCACTTCTTTGCTACCTGTAGTAGGACTGAAGGTCCCCCTTCATGAAGGGTTCACCTCTCCTCTCTTCTCTCCATAACATCACCTTCATTTATTTGTTCAACACATATTATGGCCCATCCATTATCTTACCAGGTACTGGTCCAAGCATAGCAGATACAGCAATATATAAAGCCAAGACCCTATTCTCATGATGCTTATATTGCAGGGTAGGGTCACAGGCAATATACAGATAAACAAGGAAATAGGTGCTATCTCTGAAAAAAAAAATAAAACAGGATGAGGAAACAAAACAATGATGATTATTTCATGATATGGAGTGGTCAGGGAAGACCTCTGAGCTGATTACATTTGAGCAGATACCTGAATGAAGGGAGGGCAAAAGCACAAATCTGGAGCAGATAGAGGGATGAGCATATGCAAAGGACCTGGGGCAGGAGGGTGTTTGGCAGATTTAAAGTAAAATCAGGAGGCTGGCGTGTGTGGGTTAGAGTAATGGGAGATGGGATCAGAAAGGGAGCAAAGGAATTATATTCTGAGGTGGAAAGGCACTGGAGGACTTGAGTGGGAGAGAAGAATGTCACCATCTAACTTAAGGTTTACCAGAAACATGATGATTACTGGAGAGAAAGGGTAGAAGCAGGGAGACTAATTAGGAGGCAATTGCAATCATCCAAATGAGTGTGGATGGTGGCTTAAATCTATCTGTGGGACAGCAGTGGAGATGGCGAAAAGTGGTTGAATTCTGATATATTTTGAAAATGGAATCAGCAAGATTTGATTGGATTGAATGGCTGTGGGCAGTGAGACAGAGGAGTTAAGGATGACTCCTGGAAGGATGGAGGTGGGGCAGAGCAGATTTTCAGGTGACAGATCAAGAATCTAGTTCTCTGCAACATTTAAAGTGCATATTCAACATCTCAGTAGAGAGGTTGTACTGGCAGGGCGATTTAGGAGGCTGGAGTTCCAGAAGGAGGTTTGGGCATGAGAAAATCTGTCCACTTGACGTCTCTCCATTCCCAGTGTCACTCTCCTGTGCGAAGCTGCCACACTGTGGGTCTGAATGACCACAACAAATAGCTCCCTGATTGCTCTCCTCACTTCCATTCTGGCCCCAGTATAATCCCTTCACTGCACAGCAGCCAGCGTGATCCTTTCTAAACATGAACATCAGCTTCAAATTCTTCAGCTTCAAACTCCCCAGCAGCTTCTCATGGCATTTAGAATAAAATCTTATCTCCTCACCCTGACCTATCAGGACTTATGTGAACTGGCCTCAGGCTATCTCCCCAATTTCATCTGGAAATACCCTCCCCTTTGATCACTCCATTCTAGCCTGACCTCCTCCCAACAACATTCAGAGCAAAGACCTTCCTCAAAGATTGCTCAATGCACTCTCTCCCACTTCCTTACCAAAATTTGCTGCTTTTCACATGGCAGGTCTCAGTTCAAACATTTCATCCTCAGGTGTTTGCTCACTTCCTTCTTCGTATAGTCACTGTTTAATTATCTTCTTTATTACTTCATTCACTGATTGACATAACCCCAGAAGGCACAGATGTTTTGTTCATCATGGCATTTCCAGAAGCCACTCCAATGGCTGCCAAATAGTTGGACCTTGATACGTGTTGAATGGTATGAATGGTGGCCGTCTGCTCTTTGCACCCCTCTGTGTATATTTGAACCTCTTGAAATGTGACAGTAGTGAGATTGGTTGTATTTCTTCGAAACTGGACAGTCTCACACGCACAATTAGATGTACAAATTGCGTCACCACTCTTCCCAGCAAGGCACAGGCCCATCTCCTTTATTGAGCAACTACATCTGGCCAGCTGCAATATCATAAAAGTATGCTACAGAGATATTTGGTGCTTATCATAAGCCAGACTCTTTTCATTTAACTTACACTCACAATGAGAAAAGTGGTTAATTGTTACTTTGGTGCTTTGGATTGAAATAAATATTTCCTACTTTTTCAAGCCTCAGAAGAATGCCTGGCACATAGTAGGTACTCAGTAAATATTTGTTGTATGGATGACTAAATGAATGAGTCTGTTTAATTGAAGAGTACCCTAAGAGTTCTAGGCAAGCTCCTAAAGCCACTTAGCCAACCAAATCTGTATTTTTCTCAAACTTGAGGAGGCAAAGAAAACAGAGATAAATTGGATGCTGAGACTTAAACGATTACAAATTTGCTTTTTTTGTGTTTTGTGTTTATAAACCACTTGAGCACTATCATCAAGGTGCCTTTCCCGTAGTGAATGTTAGATGTTCACACCTACCAAACACATTCAATTTTTATTACTTGTGTTTTAGAAATCTAAGCTGCTTTAACAATTTTAAACCTGACTTGTAGCTTCATCTTTTTCAGTAATTAGAAAGCGCCGTTTAAAAACATACACGCACTCTAGTGGTGCAATGCCACTTTCAAATTAGACACCCAAGTAGAATTTTGCATGCTACAAAGCTTCTGCTGCTTAAAGACTTTGATAATCACTGGACTTGTTGATCTTTGTAGACTTTTCTAGGGCACTCCATTCCCAGGGAAGCACACCTGCCTGGGGTCACTCTCTTGGTCCAGCAACCACATCACTGGGGGGAGGTTTGTTTATACCATTACCCCATTCCTGTTGCCCAAAGACAGACCAAAGTGTGTGTGCCCTGGGACCTAGTGTCATTGTCGTCCTGGGGCTGGGTTGGGGGGGCGGGGTGGTGCAGGGAGGAAAAAGGAAGTAGAAAGGACAGACTCTGGCAGTCTAGTCCAGAATGCTGCTTGGGTACACAGGAGCTGGAATTGGAGAAGAAGCAATAGCAGTGGGCTGAGGGATCCCCCAGCACCTCTCCAGTTGAAGGTTGAGCAGACTGGTAGACTCGATGATCCAGGGCAGGTAAACAGCTCAGTGGGTCCTCCGTTCTCCCATCCTCATAATGAGGAGGCCCTTTGGATGGGAGGTGCGTGGGAGAGCTCCCCAAGCTCTTATCCCTCTACCCTTTCCAGTCCTCCCTCCTCTCTCTCTTGGTCTGCCTGCTTGGGGCTATAAATGGAGAGCTGGCCTCTGGGCAGGAATGCTAGCCTGGCTGGGCCCCACAGCCTTGCACCCGCAGGGTTCGGCCGGCCCCAGGGCTCCCTGCAGCCTTTATATATATAGCCTCTGAAACCCAATCCAGCCTGCACCTGCCCTGGTCTTCAAGCACTCTGCCCCTGCCCAGGCTGGACCTGTGGCCTCTACCCCCCAACTGGCACACACTGCATATTTGGCTGGAGGGTGGGGTGCCACAGGCCTGAGGGTGAAAACGTGAGTGGGCC